GACAGAATATTTTCCATAAATTTTTAAGTACGTTACGTTCATATTGACGACGAAAAACTTGACGAACGAAACAATTCGAGTAAAGGGTTGTTGCAGGCACAAAGTGGGTTAATTTCTGCGACGCGAGTGTCTTCAGGGTCGCCTCGTGTCTCGGCAAGACTATAAAAGATTCGCTTTTATGGCCCGACAAAAGCCGAAAGTTACGATCTTGCTTTTCATTTAATTAATCTCACCGCCGTCATCGTCGATGTCGCGGGTCGCCCTCGAAAATCAGGCGATTGTGTATCTTTGCGCGCAGAAGCCGTTCACTGCAGGATGACGAAAAACGCGGTTTCCGTAGTCGCGTAATTGGCTGCCGGTGGACTTTTCAAAGTGTGGAATCAATGAGCGCGGTCATATAATTAAATCCGGTAAAGGCGCGCCGAGTCTCAACCGAGTTGATAATGCGCGTGGCTTTCGGCGTTTAGAGGAAAAAGCGCGAATGACGAGCATGTGCTGACCGAATCGATTTTTCTTTTTGTGGAATCACCTTCCGGAATCAAAAGTAACGATCAACATCGTAAATCCATCTTGTTAACTTGCTTATACAAAGAGGCCAATAAAAGGCGATCGATAAAAAGCAAAGATATATTTATTGTCGAATATTATAGCCTGTATTTTGAGCATCGTTAATGTAAAAGAAGGAAAAGAAATCGGAAAGAGAAATTTACGTACGTTACGAGTGTAAAACTGTTAAATAATCGTTGCAATAAACCATCGATAAAATTTATCTTAATATGCATTTTTTTTTTCAAATTGACCCGTTGATCGTTTTGACAAGTTTCTATGATTGCGATAACGATACGAAAAACAAGGAGCGAAATTTGAACATCGAGACAAAATTTTCCTACGAGATACTCATTCGAAATATATTCGCATCGCATTCATATTCACATACAGGTATGTCGATAACGATTGGTTCAGATTTCCGCGATTACGATGCGAGTTTACGCGCAGAGGAAGTTGGATCTTTTCCTTTTAATTACAAGACCTCCGAGGCATTTTTACACTTTATCGCCGACGCCAATTAGCGCTCGGTAAAATTCATTTCACGATGGAAACATCTCGCTTTCTACATGGTGGTGGATTTAGAGATTTAAGGAATTTTATAAAAATGGCAAACAATCTCCTTCTGATGATATCTTGAAGTCTTCAAGACAAGATAATTTCTGTCACTATTTACTAAATAGAGTGACATTTTATTCAGAAATTAATTACTTTATTCATAGAAATAATTGCTTGTGTTAAATTAGACATTTTTCTGGAGATAAATAATTACAAATTTAGAAAAGATTTAATTTGTTGTGAAGAACTCTTTAGCACAGAAGCTTTAATCATTTATTTGTAAATACGGCACTGTTGTTTTTGAAAAAAATGAAACATGATGATTTGTAATGATCGAATGAGTTTGTCGCGTGGGACGCTCCACTAATGATGATGTCTCATTAAACACATGATTGCATCGCTACACGAGGTTATCGATTTCACAGGATGGAAAGGAGACCCCTTTGAGTATACGATGCATAATTCTGACATAATTTTCTATTATGAAACGAACGCACAGGTTTGCGCGCCGGTATAACATATGCATAGATCGTCGTCGATTAGAGCGAGATACAATAATTAGCCCAATATAATCGGCGTATATGCGAATTTTACGATTAAATGCGCGAATGAGCATTAAGAAATTCATTATATCTCTTTATAACGTTATAAAATAGAGATATGATTAAGACAGATGACATATATATCTTTACTTTATCAATATATGTAGTTTGAATACTTATCTACAGAGATATACATATAATACGATGCTGTTGCAACAAGTTTTACAAATTGTGTAAATCGTATAAAGCTAAGAAAATTGAAAAGTCAAGGAAAATGCAATACGCGATAATGAATACATATATTAGATAAAACATTGTTCAATTGAAAATATTTGTCAACGTCTCAATTTTGTCGTTAATTATAATTAGTAATAATTAAAAGTAATAAAATTATATATTTATTCCAATATATTTTATCAGTTTTTTTATTTTCCTCTTTATTCAATTTTTCTTCTTCTTTTTAAAAAACACTGTATAGATATAATTAGATAATAATATAATTCGTGAGGAAAAATGTTTTTAGTCGGACAAAGAAGAAACCAGAAAATTCTCAATTATTAATAATCTTTGTATTTTGAGTCACGCTCGATTTAATTAGAAAAAAAGTAATAGTCATAGGAAAATAGAAAAACGAGGAGACATAAGGAAAGAAATGAGGAGGAAAAGAGAGAGAGAGAATTACGATGGATATTTTGCAAAGCGCCTGAAATCGGCCCGCACCCTTCTGCTACGAGAATTTACGACTGTCCACGCGAAAGCGTAGGTAATCGGCGATGATATCACCGTTATAAATAGGCACGCCTCCTGTCTCTCGCGTGCGCGCATACATACGCGTGTACACGTTCCGCACACGCGAATCTGCACCTACCTGCCGGGCACTGTCTCTTTCCCGTAGACCGCCGCGTACATATACATGCGTAAATTTTAAGGGACGCATAAACACATATGATATGTAGGTGATCGTATACCGGTCGAAATACGTGCTTGTTGAATTTCTCAGAAATTTGACGATAATATTGGACAATTTTACAGAAATCTATTTTATTTTTATATACTTTTTATATACTTTTTTAAATTTAATAATTTATTAAAGTTGCCTTTTGTAATTTTTCTTTTAGCAGAGGTTATCCTTTTACTAAACGCTTGTAACATTCAAATTTTCTACGTTTTAATTTATACGTTCCTGATTTTTTGAATTCTTTTTTTTTTGAAAAGATATAAAGAATGTTATTAATGATTTCCATGGCTGTCCACGGACATTATGTTCTTTCAGATGCATGTAAAGCGATATGTATAAAGCATACACGTGTTGCGTTACTATCATTGAATGATGTGCGTCCTTCGCATAGCCTGTGAAGGGAGAGTGTCTCGAAAGAGTCTGATGGCAAGAAATAATTATAAAAAAAAGTAGTTGATAAAAAGACAAAATGACATTCTAAAGAGTGTCTTTGCGACGCTTCCATGGTTTTAATGAGACTTACGATCACATTGATGTGTGTGTATGTGTATATACATATACATATATACATGTACTGTGAAATTCGTGAGCGAAAAAAACTTGGCACGCGAACAATTTATAGTGGAAATTTGCATCATAAAAATTTTGAAATCGACATCGATTATATACCTGAGAATAATGTTAAGATTAGTTTCTTTATTCGATGTAAAAACCTCTCAGATAATTTATATATAGAAAAATAAAACTTTTTTTACAAGTTATTTACAAGTGTTTATGAAATGACAGGTCAGTTATGATCTTATTTCTTTATTTCTCGAATAATTTTATTTTATTTTCTTGATTATTTCAATAAATAATTTCGATTATTAAATCGAGAAAGATGATTCAGAACAAATTTATGATATCAAATTTATGCAGCTCCTTTAAATAATTTATTTTATTTATATAAGAGACATACTATAGGCAATTTTGCTTGTGAGATTATTTCATTTTAATCAATGTTTTTTTACTATTAATACAAAAATGATTTTTTTCTATAGCTCATGTAAAACTAGAAATTTATTAAAATCTAACGAAAAATATCAAGGAAAATCTCGTAGATGAAACGCTATGTAAATTTGGTGTCTTAGTTTGTTCTGGGACATTTTTTTTTAATTTAATGACCAGGGATATTTGTTTAAATTAAAACGAGTTATTGAAAATAAAATCAAAACTGAATTATTTATAACTTTTAATTATGTCCACGAAATAATATGCTTTATATACACGAAATAGTTAATATTTGAATATCAAAAAGCAAAGATTTTATTTTTAAAAGACAAAATTTTGTAAAACAAAACTGAGAGGAATAAAAAAGTCAGTTATTTTCTGTTCTTTATGTTTCTCAGGAATAAGAATCTATTATATTGATTTCAAAAATATTATATTAATTTATAAAATCGAAAGTCAGAGAGATTATTCGCGTTAGAAAATTGTCACTGAAAAGAATTATATACAATTGCGAAGTAGCGTTAATAATGCGTGATTGATGCGTCTATCCTATCCGTGGGAAGTTGCGTTCCGAATACAAAACGGGTCTCTAGCATGAGGAATGATCGAATGGCACCGGTAGTAGGAACGGAAGTGGCGAATGGCCTACGGTGGAGAACTGCAGTTTGCGCAAATAAAAGTTCCGCGTGCGGCGCATACTTTTTATCTTATTTGAAAAAAATTATCGGATTCCAAATCGATCCGATTGCCACTACGCGCCGAATAACGAGCGGATGATTACAGTCGCTGCGAGGCGTAATGGCGAGTTGCCTGCAAATGTTGAAAAGAATCCTCCCCGCATCTAACATTTACACTAACATTACAAACAGCGTTCGAGAGGATGCTCGTTCCGTTGTATAACATTGCGGGGTATATAACTGCAATGACGAGCACACGTAATGTGCTCGCGCGCGGACAGCATAAGCGCTTGGGCTGCATAATAATAAGCGAATCTCGTCGCGCGCGATCATTCGATCGGAAACGCTCTCGCAACCGTTAGCCGTTTATCGTCCGGACATCGAGAGGCGACGTTTCCGTTTCTGCGACGAGCCACGAAATAAATGCGGCTGTAAGGTTGTCAACGACAGAGATTAAATGATAAAGAAATCGAATTGACGAATTCGACGGATCTTAAAATATATGCATTTCTAAAAACTATCTCTTTCATCTGGTTTACGGAATAATCTAATCAATATAAGAAAGAGTACGATTACAATTAAAATTGTATTCAAAATTGATAATTACACCGTAAATTATAAGAATTTTGAGTTTGAAAATAGAACAAAGATCCGGTTGACAATTCGATTTTTTTACATGTTCATATGAGATTAATATCCGGTCAGAGCCGATGACAGATTTGTACTCACATTCTTTGTTGCGATCCATGGCGTGTTGGAGGGGGGAATCGTCTACCTCCGCCTTCGGCGGCGACTGATTGCCCTCGGCCATCTCCGATCCCGATTCTGGAGCAGCAGCACCAGCGGCCTTCCTTCCTGCCGCGTCCGCCGCTGCTTTATCCTGCTGCGGCGAGGGCTTCGTCCCTTTCTTACCGTTTCCAGTGTCCCTGCAGGCCCGAAACGAGCAAAATGAAATTTGTGAATTAATCTTTCATACATCGCCGCGTGTGTGCCACGGTCGCGTCGCTTCCAAGAGAGACCGATCCAGCCTGCCAGCCTACCCCATCGAAGTCCGAGTGTCAATCGGATCCTGGGTCCTTCGTCGTCGAGGCATGTTTTTGTCGCGAATGATGGAATGACGGATCAATCGACACTCAATCGGACGACGTTTTCATCAAAAAGCATCGGAAACGACTGCTCTTTTCTTCTTTTTCGATACGCGACGCGTATCTTTTCTGAGTAAGAAATATATCCGATATCGAATTATATCTACATCGACAATTTATATCCTCGGAATGTGTACACACACAGATACACACACACACACACACACAGATACACACACAAACACACACACATATGTGTGTATTTAAATTTATTGAAGACTAAATGTATTCGTGAAATTTTAACTTGAAAAGAAATTTAAAAAATCTAGAGATATATTATGTGCATTCTTTTCAAGTTAAAATTTCACGAATACATTTAGTCTTTAATAAATTTAAAAATTCGAACTTAGTATCAACATAGAAAAATTTTACGAGAATCCCGAGGAATCGAATTCTTTAATAATGCAACGCCTCAAATTTTCACGATGACGAAAATGTTTTCTATCGATCCGTTCTCAGATAAGTGCCATATGGACACGACGCGTAAATATTGTAAAATAAATATTCGCGGAATAATCTTGGGTATAATGTAGAGGATATTGAGCGTGTTCCTTCTCCGGTAAAAGGGTAAGAATAACCGTTTTAGTTATCGAAGGGTGAAAACATTTATCTCGATGATTCTGCGAGAGCCTCACGAGTCCAGATGGTTCGCGACGCATAAGACGACGATCGTGCGTCGCGAGCAAAATGTCACGTAAAAAATTTGCGAAAAGTTCAGAGAAAATTACGCCCGACGCTCCGCATGGTCCGTAAGTAGATAGGTAGGAAAGTGGCGAGTCGATTAAAGATTTTAAAGCATCGAGCCAACGATCCGAGCGAGGTAGTTTAAGATCCCGAGGGGAAAGTTCCGAGAAAAGATTACTTCGTCACAGCTGGAGATAGGAAGCCGGTCGTTACGGGCGTTTATATTCTCGCGTAACGATTACACGCGGTACTGATACTAAATTGCGGGTTAATCGCTCGCTCGGCGCGGCTCGGCTCTAAACGCGAGTTGCGATCTCGCAACTCGCAGCGGCGGATTAAGGCACGTGGAGACCCGAAACGTGCGCGACAAGTAATTCTAATCCCTCCCATTTAGGGATTTTGCTATCAAAGTTCTCTCGAGCCAAAAGTATAAATCTTACTTAGTTATTACGTGAAATTAGATATTATCATCGAATACTCAAGTGTCATCAAATTGATAAAATCTAAATCTCTCCATCCCATATAATTCTGTTGATTAAAAAATATATCTATATATTATTAGCATTAAATCTGATCGTTTCCAATAGTATACGTATTAAATATTAATTTATTCTAATCGGGAGATTCCAGAGAAGAGAGTCTCTTGGATCCACGCGATAATCCGTTCTTAGCAATTTTTCTTCCTGTTGCGACCGCGTTCTTATAAGGTTGATGCGCTCTCCGATCGCGAATTAAGAAAAATAATATCTCCCCGAGGTAATAATGACGCGGGACAAAACGTTAGGGAGGCCCGCGTGGAGCTCGTTAAAATAATCGAGGCAGGTGTCGGGCGACGCGACGCGTCTATTTTTCGATCGCGATAATGCCTCGTCTCGCCTCGCCTCGCCTCGCGGTCGATCGAGAAATCGCTCGCATACTTTGTTCTATTTATACGAGATGTCGCGTACCGGTTATACTCGCGCCGGTAGAAAGTGATAACGCGACTCGAATATTCCCCTCATTTCGCGATTTCACGAGGTTTTATTAATATTCGGGCGATATGATTCGAGTTTCTCCCGGCGAGGCGGGATTTCTATCTCTCTATCTCTCTCTTTCCGCGTCGTGCAATCTGCATACGGCGCGACATGCAAATTATCTCACCTCTCGTCCTTGGCGTCGCGCCTAGGATCCTTCCTGTCCCGATCCTTATCCTTGTGGCCGTCCGCTTTTTTCACCTTGGATCTCGACTTGGCGTCGCCTTTGGCGATCTTGTGCTCGCCGCCGCGTTCGACGACGACCACGGCGGCGTTCTCGTCGCAGGATTGAGCGCTGGAAGCACCCGAAGACGTGGGGGACGATGTCGATGCTGCTCGACTGTTAGTGTAATCCTGTACGAGGAGCGCACCTCGTTAATCCCGCATTCGTTCAATGAGCGCGCCGAAAGACGGCCAGCCGGTTGATGCCGCCGATTCTGATAGCGCTGGGAAGAAATAAGCTTTGAGCTTACCTTAAACCACTCCGGATAGATCGCACTGATGGTATCCAGAAGGTCCTGATCGAGTTGAATCCTCCAGAACGGGGAACCGCTGTCCAACCTGTGGCCAGACTCTGAAATAAAAAATATTGCAAGATATTAATTTACTTATTTAATAAATTTATGTAATATTGCGTAATAAATTTATATAATAATAATAATAATAATAAATTTATGTAATATTGCGTAATAAATTTATATAACAGCGTAAAATTGCAGGTAATGAGGTAAACATGTCATCGCGAATAGCTCACTGCGCGCGAAGAGGATTTCAAATGCGCAAGTTTCGAAGCCGCGGCGCGAAGGATCGCGGGCCCTTAAGGCCATTCCTGCCGCATAAGGGCTAATAATGCCGCACGAGCACGATGCGCCCAAAAGGCGTATCAAAACTCCACGGCATGCTGGTCTCGTTGGTTTCTTTCGCGCATTCCGAGGGATTCCCTGCCTAATTTAAACGTTCGCCGAGTAGCGAGGGATCACCCGGTGGGATGCTGAGGAGGCAAAGGACGACTCGAGGACCGCGTCACATCCTTGCGAGGAAGGGGATGAGAAGGTAAAGGAGGGTCTCCTCGTTACGGAGACATTCTACAGGTAGGACGCGTGCCCAGCCTCCGTAATCGCGAATCGAGAAGAGAGAAGGATGAAAAACGAGGAGCGTTACTCTCAGAGGACTTTCAAATACCTCGGTCGGCGACAGAAACGCAATTTTTGCGCGTTAGCGTAAACGCGTTTTCTAAGCACGGCTGTCACACCCCTTTTGTTTCAAATGTAAACGCGACGAATCAAATCTTTCGATGACCCACAACTCATACAAATCGAAAACTTTAATCATCAAAAATCTTCGCTTATCAAATTTTTAAAATATAAAGAATCTATAGACACAAAAAGGATTTACTTCTAAATCATCATTTCACAATTTGTGACATTTCGACACATTATATCATTCACGTATGGATTAACAGAATTTAAATTATTAATTATTTTTTAAATATGTTATTTAATTTTCTGAGTACTTAGCGCGAATTAAAACGCTGAAACACGATGGCGAGGGATGAAAGGCAAGAAATCCTGCGACGAAGGGAAGAAGAATTTCACCTTAACCCAATAAATGATTAGTGTGCCGGGGAAGCGATATAAATGCTCAATCAGTATGCGTGTGCGGCGGACAATCCGCTGTAAATCACGCGCTGTGAATCATTCGTCGGCATAAATCTAGCCGCGGTCTCTGATCAATACGCTCCTAACCGGTCCGACACATTAGTTAAACGCGTTACTAGAGTCGCCATCGTTTACGGGACATCTCGCGGGGTCGATTCCGCATGATGCGGTCCCCTCTTCTCCCACAAAAAGCGTCTCGATGATGTCGATGGCCTAATAACGCCGATTCGAGAATCCATGGCGTAAAGCAATACATCATCGACGAGCGGATCCACGTCCGTTCGATCGTTCATCGGATAGATTTATCGGATGTCGTTGTCGGGGCCATCGACACAAACCTCGATATTAATCGGATGATTAGCCATGATAACGAAAGTGTAACAACTTGATGTATCACGCGTGCTCGAAATATCTTATATAAATTTAGACACGTAATTTCGCAAAATTCTCGAATATAAATTGTAAATATTTCAGGTGCTTTCGTAAATTGTAAATATTTCAGATGGTTTTCGTTCTTAACTATTGCACTTAAAATAGACGTTGAAGACTCTCAATGCAATGGGGACGAAATCAACGGTGGAAAAGCAACGATCGAACGCACACAAGAGGGAACGCTTCTTATTCGTCGCAGCGGGAACATATTTCGCGAATGATTCTGAATACGAAATGCGTTCCTCGGGAACGACATCGGCGGCGGCCGTCGAAATTCGGGCAAATAAATCTCGCGCCTCCCTTCGCCCCCCCTTTTTCTCCATCCCGTTGTTTTCTCGGTGATCCTATCGCACGATCCAGTTGCAGACGCGTGTACGCATACGCGCGTGTACGTACATGCATACATACGTAGGCCTCGCGATGCGTTCGAGAGAGCACGTGCGTGTTGTTCCTGCCCGTCTGCCTCGTCCAAGTCCTCTGAGTCACTCGTTCCCTCGTCACAGGCTACCCGCCGCGCACTGGTAGCCGCGAAAAACTGCGCGTTGCACTTCGGGAATGCCGTCGGCATGTACAGGGTGTTCCCCTTCGTCGCGATCGTCGATCCACTCGACAAGAACGACGCCGCAAGTTCGCTCTTCGATTATCTCTCTTTCTTTCTCTTTCTCTCGCGAGCATCTACCTTTTTTCTTGCTTACCTCTTCGCGGAATCACCGAACATCTCGCTCTTTGCGATAATCGCACGGTTGTTGCGACTCGCGAAGACTCTTCGCGGTTCGGAGACATCGCTTATCAGTTATTTTATTCAATTTGTGGCAAAAAATTAAATAACATCTTGTTTTAATTAAATATTTCGTCTAAAGGATATAGAATGTTTTAGATAATATTCGTTTAACCAATGTGTTTTAAGTAATATTTAATTTCAATTTTTAATTAAAAATTTGCAACACTGTATTTTAATTTGCAAAATTGTATTTTAATAGTCCGAATTTAAGCGAAAAAAAAACTTTAATTTAAATTAAAATATTAATGCATAATTTGCATATTAATTTTAAACAAGAATATTTTTTATTCCCCTTTAATATAACACGTGCAAATTAGCATGCGTAAGTTATGATAAATGCACTTCCAAATGGAATTACAGAGGGATTGAATTTTCTCCTGTCTTATTGTATACTCGAGTTAAACGTACGAGAGCATAGCCTCGCGGGCAAGCCGGAGAAAGGATTTGGGTGGAGAGCAGAGCACGAAGAAAACAGAGAGGAGCCTCTCGAGTGCGGGAGGAGATTCTCTTACAATAGCCGTAAGCTTTGCCGCTCATTAGAGGCGAGGTCGCGGGTCACGTGGAACCGCTTTGTGTGCTTCGTGTTCCTGTATATGTAAGTTACATACAAAACAATATCCACGCACGGAGATCCCTTTTCCCTGGATTATACCAAGATCGCTTTACAAAGCAGGCTACAATAGATATAATCTCTGATTTCAAAACTCAACAATGTTAATTCTCTTCCTATCGAAATCGTATACGTTACGTTTTATGTCGCGTATCTCTAACGTTTCTTCTTTATGATAAAAGAATCAAAAGTGTCTTTTATTTTCGCGATGAACAAGCCGACATGCGTAAAATATCAGTATAATAGATGTGACGGCAGTTGACGTCGCGTAGAACCGGAAGAAATTAAGAAACGAATCCCGAGGAACGTCAATCGCACGACTCGATGGATCTCAAATACAATCTTTCTCATCCGTTTTATCGTCATTATTCTCCCGCGCACGCGAGAAACCGGTTTTCCCTCGGTAATACAAATATTACCGCGAAGACAATAATGACGCGTGAAACAAATTAATCGCGGAATGCGTTTCGCAGACGTATCTCGCGATTGCCTGCGCGTTTCAGTTATTTAACATCCCGCCGGTCGTAAAGCTTTAATTGACGTGGCACGCGAGGAAGACCAAGTCTCGAGGGAGGTATCAACGTTCGGGATCCCGAAGAATCGCTCTAACGAGTACTCGTACTCTCGTATTCAAGCGACTAATCAACGACACGCTGATGGCGAGGAGGTGGCGTTTCTCTCGACGGGAACCACTCGGGAGAAGATCGGCGCACTCGCGTCTACTATTATACGGGGTGTCCCTTTGTTCCCGGGCATCCCACACGACTCGCATTGAACCCGTACGATTATAAATTGCCCTGAGAAAGCGCGGCTGGTCTATGCGAACGCATCCTGGACGGCGTGCACTCTCGGAGGCACGCGAGAGACAACACGTGGTAGGTGAATCGCTCGCTCTTTCGCGTGAAACACGTACGAGACTTATTTACCGGAGGTACCAGGGCCCACTTAACCCCTAACCCCCAGCTTCGTATATCTTGTCGACAATGCGTAGCGATGAATTTAATACTTCCCGCCCTACTGCCTCATCTCTCAACCCTTTCCGTCTAACTTTCGTAATGAAATTCGCCCTGAGAAATATGGCGCAGTATGACGATGGAAGCTTTTAACACGTCCTCTTTCGCGTTTCGCTTCCTCGATGTTTTATATAGTCTTCTGACATATACACAGATATACACAAGGTGCTCTGTTCTTATTACATATTTCTATCAAAAACAAGCATATTTTTCCCTTGGAAAAATTTCCGGGAATTTATCGTTTTTATTTTATTTCACTTTGCCAAAGGACAAGTAATAAGGATAGTAAGAAAGATATCGATCTTTATTCTATTTATATAGCATACTCTGTATATTGTATATTATATTTTATATCCCCTATTGACGCGTAAAAACTTGAAATTAAAGTAAAAATATGATTCTTCTAAAACAGGAATTAATATTATAAATTTTATATAAGAATTAATATATAAATGTTGAAATTCACGCGATGATCCGCGAAAAATAAGTGGACGACGCTAACTCTATACTCTCCTTCCGCTCCTTATTTCTTCATCGCGCGTAGGCGGGGCGCGAGCGAAGATCGTCTTGATCGAGCGCACGTTCGATCGGCCGGATCGAGCTGGCTACCGATCCCCGCCGTGCGGAACGGATTAACGGATATCATTGAGCGCCGCGTGATTTCTCCTTGGTGAAGGTAGCGCGATGATGAATCGTGGGTGGACGCGATCGCGAGGTGATCGCACGGAAGAGCTCCGATGATTGTCGAATGGAAAAGTTTTCTAGCTGGACATCGTCGTCGTACAATCGGTGAAAGTCTCGCTCTCGGTCGCGCAGGATGATTGATATCGTTGGCGTAGCTCCGACTGGACAACACGAACCTCCCTTCACTTTGTCGCCGACACGAATTTCATCTCATCGAGCTTGCCCATCGAAGATGACATCAATTAAAAAAATTACGATGGCTTTTACACAGGAAATACACAGATATTTATCTCATTTATAGTTAACAGTTACAAAGTAAATGTATCATTCCTATCATTTTTATCTCAATCAATAAAAAAAAACTAAAATTATATCGTTGATATATCATTTCTCTTT